CTTCTCAGTAGAAAGAGCAAGGAAATATATATAATAACCCTGGTAACCCACATATATGTACCTGTCTACATTTCTTTACCTATCTCTGTATACATTCAAAAAGTTCATCCTATGGGGCACCTGGCTGGCTCATTTGGTAGGACATGTGACTCTTGATGTTGGGGTCATGAATATGAGCCCCACATTTGGGGTAGAGTTTACTTTAAAAAAAAAGTTCATAGTGATACTGCTGGCTCCATGTTATAACCACGGGCCTCATTCTAGCATTCTCCCTTTACTTATTTGTGACTTCTTTTTCCAAACAGTGAGAAACCTGGCTCTCATTATTTATAGTATATAATTTTTTCAGTCCTGGTGTACTAGTAGTTCAAGAATTGCTAACCCATACCCCTGGGAGAAACAGTTTTACCAATGAAAGTACAGTGTTTGTATATGCTTTTTGTCTACTTTTGTCCTTAGAATCTAGTCAACACATTCTTTTCCAAAGTTACTTTTTTTTTTTTTTTTGAGTAAGCTCTACACCCAACATGTGGCCCAAAGTCATGGTCTCTGAGATCAAGAGTTGCATGTTCTACCAACTAAGCCAGCCAGGCACCCCCGGAGTTACTTCTAAAGTTCCTTTCTTTTTAACCCACTTCAAAGTGTGGTTGTATCATGTATTTATAATACTGTTAGATACATTTGTCATAGTCTACATTTCATCTTCCATTCCTCCAACATCCTGGTGGATTTTTTAAACAAATGTATATACAGTAAAATTCACTCTTTGTAGTAGATAGTTTTGTTGGCTTGACAAATACGTGGAATTATGTTCCTGACACCATAGTACCATACAGAGCAGTTCTGTCACCTCCAAAACTCCTTGCCCTGCCTTTTTAGTTCTTTTTTTTTTTAAGATGTATTTATTTTAGAGAGAGAGAGGGAGAGAGAGTACGTATGTGCACACTCATGCACGTATAAGTTGAGGTGGAGGGGGAGGGAGGGGGAATCTTAAGCAGACTCCCTGCTGAGCATGGAGCCTGATGCAGGGCTTGATCCCATGACTCTGAGACCATGACCTGAGCTGAAATCAAGAGTCTGACGCTTTACTGACTGGGCCCCCAGGCGCCCCTCCCTTTTTTTTTTTTTTTTTTTTTTTACGATTTATCTGTTTGTTTTAGAGAAAGCGAGCGAGTGAGCAGGGGGAGGAGTAGAGGGAGAGGGACAAGCAGAGTCTGCGCTGAATGTGAAGCCAGACGTGGAGCTTGATCACATGACCCCAAGATCACTACCCGAGCCAAAACCAAGAGTCGGTTGCTTAACCGACTGAGCCACCCATTTTTATAGTTTGATCATTTTTTTTATAGTTTTTATAGTTTAACTTCTTTACCCACCTCCAACCCCTGACATTTGGTTGCCTTTTTGATATTGGTAAATATTAGAAAAAGACAAAACTCTTGTTAATAGCTTATTCATAACTAAAAAAAGATACATGTGGTATTAGAAAAAAGGGAATAGAGATTGGTGCTGACATCCTATCTTTAATGATAATTCTTTATGGTTCCAATGATTTAGTTATTTCTCGTATCAGAGTCTTAGTATTGGACTGTAAAATTTGGCAGACAAAATAGTATGTCAAAATCCATTAGTATTCTGACATACCAACAGCATGTTTTGGAATATAAAAAAATTATCAAATCGAATTATTCACTTAAAATTATTGCTGTCCTGGAATTTGCTAACCATTTGTTGGTTGGTCCTTGATGGAGTTTGTTTTTATTGTTTTTTTTCAGAGTAAAGCTGCTGCTAAAGCTGGATCTTCTAAATATCAGTGGGGCATTATGAAATCCCTTGGTCTCTCTGATGAAGAGATAGTCAAATTTTCTGAAGCAGAATATTGGCTTGATTATTTCCCACCACTGGCTATTCAGGATCTGAAGAGAATGGGTTTGAAGGTATGTCCATCACTCCCATAGTTTAAGAAAATATGAAGAACAAATTGTGTTTATGATTATATGATATTTGGACCACTCTTAATTTAGAATAATATATTCCACCTGTATTGCACTAATGAATTAGTACTGTTATTGTTATGGGTCTTGATATAAGCAGTGAAGTACTTTAATATTTGTTGTATTGGAATATTTTTTTTTAAGATTTTATTTATATATTTGACAGAGAGCGAGAGAGCACAAGCAGGGGGTACAGCAGAGGGAGAGGGAGAGGCAGGCTCCCCACCAAGCAGGGAGCCCAATGCGGGGCTCGATCCCAGGACCCTGTGATCATGACCTGAGCCGAACGCAGATGCTTAACCATCTGAGCCACCCAGGCACCCCTGGAATATGTTTTAATAGCAATTAGTAGAAGGGAATTCTGTCAAAGAATATGAAGAAGCCAAAGTTTAGCTTATATATTTAGGAATACTTAAAGGTATTATTTAAGTGTTCTTTCTTAATTTATTATAATTCCTATATGCTTGTTATATGAATATGCGTGTTTCAAAATTGACCAATTAAACACAAGTTAATATAATTAATATATTTAATAGATAGAACCTGAAAATGTTTTCTTTCAATGTTTGATATAATTATAGGTTGGAAAATAAAGAGTAGAAGAGTGAGTAATAGATTCATGGGAATTCTTATTCATAGAGACTCTACAGATTTCTCAAAAATTACTTTTTCTTTTCTCTTCTATAGGTAGACTGGCGTCGTTCCTTCATCACCACTGATGTTAATCCTTACTATGATTCATTTGTCAGGTGGCAGTTTTTAACATTAAGAGAAAGAAGCAAAATAAAATTTGGGAAGCGGTGAGTTTGTTGTCCTTCAGTATAATAAAACAAGAATCATAATTCTTGCATTGTAATTCACTGCTTGATAGATAGCCTTCTTTTTCCCATTATCCTTTCTCATTTTGTAAATTTTTTCTTTTTGTCTCATGTCTCATTTGTTTCCCTTTTTAGTCTTAACAGTATTTTAATGCCTCTGAGCTGCTTAGTGTTCATGACAAATAAAAACAGGGAGACTAGCAGTGTTGGCTTTTTTTTTTAAATATAATACCCAGTGCTCATTACATCACATGCCTTCCTTAATGTCTATCACCCAGTTACCCCATCCACACACGCCCCTCCCCTCCTGCAACCCTCAATTTGTTTCCTATGATTAAGAGTCTCTTATGGTTTGTCTCCCTCTTGGAGTGTTGGCTTTTATGATCTCCCTAAAGATTCTGTTTAGTATTTCCAGCCAAGCACAAAAAAATTTTATTTATGTGTTAGTTTATCCTTTTTTTCTATAAATTGTTTAAGATTCTTCCTTGATTCTGTGGATTAATTAAAAGCTACTTGTATTTCGTAACTGAAATTATACTTCATAATCTTTTGTTTCATACTACAAAGCCAAGATCAGTGCATATTTTTCAGGGTATTACCTTTGATGAAGGCAGAAAGGTTTCATTAAATAACTAGGCTGACAACTACTCATAAAAGCATAAATAATTGATGTAGACATTTGCTCAGTTAGAAGTTTTAGTTAGAAGAAATATTGTTAGATACTAGCAACAGAAGCAAATATGTTAGGATGAAACTTGTATATTACAATAATATTTGTCACTTATTGTTTATTTTTTAGGTATACCATTTATTCTCCAAAAGACGGACAGCCCTGCATGGATCATGACAGGCAAACTGGAGAGGTAATTATTTGTGACATAGAGTAGCTATTATAATATTTTGTAATATGGCCATAGAGTTTACAGAATATATCAGAAACCTAAAAATAATTTTATTCCAGTGCTGAGGTATATTCCGGTGACTCTGAAGAGGAAGGCACAGTGGCACTGTAGGTGTCTGTGTCTTGTCTAGGACCTTGTTACTCCAAGAGTGGTGCTAGGATCAGCTGCATATGCATGTGATACAAAAGCACATTCTTTTTTTTTTTTTTTTTTTGGACAGAGACACAACAAGAGAGGGAACACAAGCAGGGGGAGTGGGAGAGGGAGAAGCAGGCTTCCTGCCGAGCAGGGAGCCTGATGCAGGGCTCGATCCCAGGACCCTGGGACCATGACCGGAGCTGAAGGCAGACGCCTAACGACTGACCCACCCAGGCGCCCACAAAAGCACATTCTTGGGCCTTAGCCCAGAATTGCTGAATCAGAAGCTCTGGGGGTAGAGCCCAGAAATCTGTCTCTAATAAGCTCTTGATAGGATTCACATGTAGGCTAATGTTTGAGAAGCACTGCTTGGAGAATACACTGTTCTAAAAAGCATGGGGCAAGGTGATGAGATATGTGGCTAACTGATGTACACAGATTCCATTTATACTTGTTTTGATCATGTGCCTACTTGCTTATTTCCAAAGTGCTTCTAGCCATGCATGACATCAGTTCACTCTACATTCCTGTAAGACACATTAGTAGCATTATTCCTTATAATACTTGAGTGAAACCAAGGTGATTTGCCTAAAGCCATAGCACAGTCGTTCAGTAACAATGACAGAATCTGACCTTAGGATTCCCTGTGTTGTATCTTCCTTTGTTACCATCTCTGAATGCATTTGTAGTTTAGTGATTACTTTTCAAAGTCAGCTTTCAATTATGATGTAACTTATCTAATAGAAGTGAGAGTTGATCAAAAATTTGAATTTGGAAGACTGAATTTACTGACTGTTAAGTTTTAATGTAGTCAACACCACAGCAATATCCTAAATTCCAATAGTATGTCATAGTTTTTCAAAGCATTTTCTTGTTCATTGTCTTACCTGCTCCGCAGGACAATCCCATGTGAGTCACAGTACAGTTATTTTACAGATGAAGAAATGAAGGCTCAAAGAGACTGTGACTCCCTTGGGTCAAGCCATTAGTAATGGGCTCGGCTAGGTTTTGAATGCACATCATTTGACCCCAGGTCCAGAGTATTTCTTTGATGCCTGCTCTGTGGGATTGTTCGATTACATATTCTGACTCCCATTTTGGTAAACACCGTTTTGGGTGATTATTCTAATTTTTTTCCTCGTGTCCTCCACTCAAGTGAGCTCTTAGTCAACTGTTTTTACTTAGTAGTGTCTGGGCTTCATTTATGGGTTCTGATCTGGTGTGGGGTGGGAAGGTGGCCTTTCAAGTCACTCTTCTTTCTTTTTTCCCCCAAAGATTTTATTTATTTATTTGAGAGAGAGAGAGGAAGAGAGCACGAGCTGGAGGGGGTGTGCAGTGCAAAGTGAGAGGGAGAAGCAAAGGGATCATGACCTGAGCCGAAGGCAGTCGCTTAACTGGCTGAGCCACCTACCCCTTTCAAGTCACTTCTTACACATTAGACCTTTATTTTTTTTTAATTTATTTTTTAAAGATTTTATTTATTCATTTGAGAGAGAGAGAGAGAGAGAGAGCACAAGCAAGGGGGAGAGGCAGAGGGTGAGGGAGAGTCCCCACTGAGCTGGGAGCCTGATGTGGGGCTCAGTCCCAGGACCCGGAGATCATGACCTGAGGCGAAGGCAGACGCTTAACCATCTGAACCACCCAGGCGCCCTCACATTAGACTTTTATGTGAATGTAGTCATCTCCTTACTTGCCGTCTCCTCATTGGAAGAAAATTATTCTAACAATGCAAGAATCCATCTAAAAAATTTGACTCAGATCTCTCACATAGATGGTGGGTTTAATCCAGGAAGCTTTTTTATCCTCTCAAATTTTTGTTTTGTTTATTTGTTTAGGGCGTGGGACCTCAGGAATATACTTTAATCAAGTTGAAAGTACTTGAGCCATACCCATCCAAATTAAGGTGGGTTGCCAAAGAGTTATTGCTTTATCTTTTCGAAATAATAGATGTGATAGAATCCACAACATTTTTTTTGCATGAACATATATTTTTTTCTTCTTAGTGGCCTGAAAGGTAAAAATATCTTCTTGGTAGCTGCTACTCTCAGACCTGAGACCATGTTTGGACAGACCAACTGTTGGGTTCGCCCTGATATGAAGTACATTGGGTTTGAGATGGTGAATGGTGATATATTCATCTGCACCCAAAGAGCTGCCAGAAATATGTCATACCAAGGCTTTACCAAACACAATGGAGTGGTGCCTGTTGTTAAGGAATTAATGGGAGAGGTGAGTTGGGTAGCAGATTTCTTATTTTAATGCTTAAATTTAGAGGAGAATTTCAACGATGACACTTGAGGAAAGAACATTGAAAAAAATCTTTTTAATTGTATCCATACAATGCAATGTGTAAATCCTAAATTTTGTATTTTGGTGCATTTTTATACGTGTGTACACTCAGGCAAGCGCCACCTAAATCAAAATATAGAACAGTTCCAGTAGTCCAGAAAGTGCTGTCTTGTCCATCTTGCAGTCAGTACTTACCCCTCTTCTGCAAAGGTAACCACTGCTCTGATTTAAGTCACCGAAGATTAGTTGCTGTTCTTGAACTTTTCATTCAGAATTATATAATCTGTACTTTTTTGTGTCTGGCTTCTTTTGCTCAAATTATGTCTTTGAGATTCATACATGTGTGTAGGAGTGGTTTTGTTCTTTCTTATTGCTGTGGAGAATTCATTGTGTACCATAGCATTTTTGAGTCTTGTTTCAGTTCGGTAAGTATCTGGTCAAAAAAAATAGACAGTCCTCCCTAAGAGATTTAATAGCTGCCGTAGATGATTACCAGCATTCCTGGTATAGAATTGCAGCCATTTTTTTTCCCTGAAGAATCTTGGATGATGGTAACTAAATAATGGTAACTAAATCTGGATGATTATGTAGCTTTTATCCTTACATTTTATTTACTTATCAGTATTTCAGAGTATGTTTTACTCCCTTTGGTAAATGCTGATCTTAGGTATCTTAATAAATAACATTTATTTATTTATTTTTTAAAAAGATATTTATTTGAGAGAGAGAGAGAGAGAGCATGAGCAGGAGAGGCAGAGGGAAAAGGAGAGAGAGAATTCCAAGCATACTCTGTGCTGAGCAGAGCCTGATGCGGGACTCGATCTCATAACCCTGCGACCATGACCTGAACCAAAACCAAGAGTCAGACGCTTAACCAACTGAGCCACCCAGGTGCCCCAATAAGTAACATTTTAAAAGAAAAAGATGAGTAGAATATTATCTCAGTTTTTTTGAATTGAGCTTTTATTTCTTGCTTATTTTGGAAACTTACTTTTGGACTAGATTGTTACACATTAGTAGAACTCAAAATTTGAAAGACAAAAAGATAGAAAATTTGTCCCTAGTCACTCAGTTTCCCCTTCCATAGGCATTCACTAAAATCACTGTTTTAAATATCCTTCCAGAAGTATTTCATGTATCTATAAGCAAATGCCTGTGTATACTTTCTCCCTCTTATTATTATTTATCTACTTTTTTAAAAGATATTATTTATTCACTTGAGAGAGAAAGAGCATGCATGTATAAGCAGGGGCAGAGGCAGAGGGAGAGAGAGAGAATCTCAGGCAGATACCCCACTGAGTGCAGAGCCTGACTCGGGGCTCAATCTCACTACGCTGACATCATGATCTGAGCCAAAATCAAGAGTCAGATGCTTAACCAATTGAGCCACTCAGGCGCCCCTCCCACTTTTTAATATACCAGTGGCAGTATACTTAATCACATTGTTCTCGGTCTTGCTTTCTTTTTTACTTAATTATGACTTGGTATGTGCCTTATCAGCGCAGAGCTTCCTTGTATCTTCTGTTTTACAGCCATATAGTATTCCATTGTTTGGCTCTACCACAGCTTATTTAACCATTCTCTATAATGGATATTGGAATAGTTTGTCTTTTTCTGTGATAAGCAGTGCTGCCGCATCTCATTAGTTCCTGATGTCTGAGTTCTGAGACGTTTTTAGGACTTGTGTGAATAACACAAATATTTTCTGTTCCTAATGCAGTTTCTTTCCATTTGAGCAGATTCTGGAGTGTGTGATATAAATAAAATATAAATAAAAAAATAGCTTGCAGCCCTTATTAAGACTGTCATGATATTTAGCCTTCACCCATGTGACCATAAGTAGCTTCTTCCTGAGTAAAGTGGATGGGTGGGAACTGTGTGGAATTGAAACGTGCATTCCTTGGCTCAAAAAGCAGCTGCAAGCGCTTTTGTTCCCATTCTAAGGGTATGGGTTCAATATTGTTGAATCTTCGGATTTTGTTGTTTTTTTTTAAGAGAAACTGGTTATATCCTTTTCGTTCAGTTTGTCTTCGTAATCATTGTTTTAATTTAAATGGATATACAGTATTTTATTTTGTTGATATCTCATTTTGTTAAATGATTTTCTATTCTGTAAAGTTTTAGCTGTCTCCAGGTTTTGCTGTTGTAGTTAACACAGCATTGGGTAGACTTCTCAAAGAAAAAAAGTTACTTTTTCCTTTGAGGTTAATTCCTAGGATTGGATTGCTGGGTCCAGGTTGTGTGAACATTTTTGTGTCTCTTGCTATGGTTCCTATATTGTTTTCCTCAAGGAGTACACTGTCACAAGCAATGTATTAGTGTACTAATTGCCTCACAACCTTACCACATTACATTTGGGTATCATAATTATTCACAACTATTTGTAGTCTGGTACGTATAAAAAAATGTATTTTGTTTTACTTCATTTATTTTTAAATACTATCTTCTCAGGGCTTAAAAATATTAACACTGTTTTAAATTTTAATGGTTAAAATAAGTTTTTTCACCTTTATGCTGATCTTTTTGTTGCACAGGAAATTCTTGGTGCATCACTTTCTGCTCCTTTAACATCTAATAAGGTCATCTATGTTCTTCCAATGCTCACCATTAAGGAGGAAAAAGGTAGAGTTTCTTTCTTTCTTTCTTTCTAGAAATACTTTGGTAATTGCATTCTGGTTGTATTAATTAATTCCACACTTTCTTTTATAAGGCACTGGTGTGGTCACAAGTGTTCCTTCTGACTCCCCCGATGATTTTGCTGCCCTCAGAGATCTGAAGAAAAAGCAAGTTAGTGTCTCAGTTTCATGTTCTTATTTCTTCTTAATCATCTAATTAGGTACTGCTGAACTATGAGATTAGGCTAAAAAGGTATCATGTATCTTTATCTCTGCCTTCTTTCTTGATGTTTATGTATTTTCCTTTGTTTTGTATTTTAAGTATAATATTTCATAGAATCTTTTTTAAAAAGACTTTCAGAGCAGTTTTAGGTTTATAGTAAAATTGAGAGGAAGGTATAGAGATTTCCCATTTACTCCCTGCCCCCACATGTGCACAGCCTTCTCTTACTATCAAAATCCCACCAGAGGGGTGCATTTGTTACCATGATGAACCTGCATTGACACATCATAATCCACCAAAGTCCGTAGTTTACTTTAGGGTTCGCTCTTGGTGGTGTATATTCTTTGGGTTTGGACAACTGTATAATGACACAGATTCATCATTGTAATATCATAGAGTATTTTCATTGCCCTAAGAATCCCGTGTGGTCTTTCTGTCATCTCTCTCCCCTGTGACCCCTGGCATTCACTGATCTTGTTATGGTCTCCACAGTTTTACCTTTTCTGGAATGACATGTAGTTGGAATCATACCGTGTGTAGCTTTCTCAGATTGGCTTCTTTCAACTACTCATATGCATCTAAGGTTTCTCTATGTCTTTTCATAGCTTGATTGCTCATTTTCTTTCTACCTGGATGTACCATAGTTTATCCATTCACTTCCTGAAGGACCTCTTGGTTGCTAATAAGCACTGGTAATTATGAATAAAGCTGCTATATACATCCATTTGCAGGTTTTTGTGTAGACATAAGTTTTCAGCTCCTTTGGGTAAATACGAAGTTGTGTGATTGCTGGGTCCTATGGTAAGAATATATTTAGCCCCCCAGCTGTGTTCCAAAGTGGCTGTACTGTTTTGCATTCCCACCAGCAGTGTATAAGAGTTCTTGTTGCTCCACATCCTCACTAGCATCTGGTGTTGTCATTGTACCAGATTTTGTCCATTGTAATGGGTGTGTAGTGATATCTCTTTGTTGTTTTAATTTGCATTTTCCTGATGATATGATGTGGTCTTTTCATATGCTTATTTGCCAGCTATGTATCTTCTTTTGTTGAGGTGTGTCCGTTAAAGT